AGGGCTTATGCATGCCCTTATGCGCTTATGCATGCCCCTTACCGACCTCTCAGGAAAGGGGTGAGGTCAATAATAGACAGTCTAAGGTTAAAGTTTTTGGGGTTTGGGGAAGAAACCACAGAGTCAGGTAGAGTATTCCAGACATTGACCACTCTGTTGCTGAAGTCATATTTCCTGCAATCAAGTTTGGTGCAATTAACCTTGAGGTTCTATCTATTGTTTTCTCTTGTATTGTTATGATTGAAGCTGTAGTATTCATTGATAGGTAGGACATTGCAATGTATGATTTTATATACTGTACTTGATTGGACTGAAGACGGCGTAGTTCAAAGTTTTCTAGATCTAGAATTTCAAGTCTAGTAGCATAAGGTATTCTGCAACGAGTAGAGGTGTGGAAAACTCTTCTTGGGAAATATTTCTGGACTTTCTCAATTGTGTTAATATCAGATACGTAATGTTGGTTCCAAACTGATGAGCTGTATTCAAGTATTGGTCTTGCAAGTGTTTTGTATGCTCTAGTTATTAGTGTAATATTACCAGAGAAAAAGCTACGTAAGATTAGCTTAACAAACTCTTAATGCCTTTTTGGCTTTGTAGCTGCAATGGGCTCTAGCACTTAGATCATTAGAGATGAGTACTCCAAGATCCTTGACAGAGTTTGGATCATCAACAAGGTCTTGACTATTCAGCTTGTATTTTATATTCTGAAATTTTTTTTCCAATATGTAAGATAGAGCATTTATTTGTTGAGATTTGAAGTTGCCATTTGTTTGACCATTCTGATACATAGTCAAGATCTTTTTGAAGGGTAGCAGTATTGTCTGTGGTATTGAACAGCTTTACATCATCAGCAAAGAGAACGCATTTGCTCTTAATGTGATCACAGAGGTCATTTATGTAGAGTATGAAGAGAGTTGGTCCTAGAACACTGCCTTGGGGGACACCACTATTGACAGGTACAGAATTTGATAGGACACTCCCAATTTTGACCATTTGTTGTCTGTTAGACAGGAATGCTTCTATCCAGTTATGCAGTTGACCAGAGACACCATAAGATTTCAGTTTTAGGAGTAGTTTGTTGTGTACCACTGAATCAAAGGCTTTACAGAAGTCTATGTAGATTGCGTCTATTGTTTTGCCCTGATTGAATTGTGTAGTCCATATGTTTTTGCAGTGTAAGAGTTGCAGATTTCATGATAGTTTTTTCCTAAAACCAAATTTTCTGAAGTTTTTGAAGTTTCCACTTGAAAACTTATGAGTTTTTGAGATGTCTTTTTATGGTGTCTGCCATACATTATGTCAGCTCTGTTTAAGTAAATGGGGAAATCAGCTGCAGGCCAAGAAATTTATTGGATAAATTAGAGTTCCAATAAGGAATTGCTGGCTCTAGACATCTGCTTCACATATCTCTTGATGGCCCATCCACCAGTAGCAGATGGTCTCTATCCAGAAATCATATTTAAAAAGAGAGAAGATTCGTTTGTATGCTGATCTGCAAATATATGCTGTAGTTATCCCTAGTGTCAAAGGTTAGGCACAATCTGCGTTTGGAATGGTGTATATACCGTATGTGTGTTTGCACATAAAATTACATAGATATTATAAACTTCGGATGCTTTCTTCTGTAAAACTAGTATAGTTCAGGAACAGCTTCAGTAGCAGTCCGGATCAAGATTAATATTACTTCTAGGCTATGACAGAAATAAGAACTATGAAATAGTTTATTGACATTTTTTTGGTTGACATATCTTTTCCCATCTCTTTCATATTATTAACGAGGACAATATTGCAGTATAACAAATCAGGATAGCGTTATAACAGCATGAGAATGGAATGAGAGCATTCTTATTTTAGTTTCAATCATGTCTTTCATATGAATTATGTCCCTCAAGAAAAAGCCTGAATAGATAATTTCAGTAGAAAAAAAATATCTTTTTTATCTTCATCAGGTCTTTTGTAGAGGGGCAAATTTATTTTGGTGGAGCCTTTTCCATTTTTAATTCCCTACAATTTGTCATTTTACCTAAGGTAAGCTTCAAGATAATTTAAACCAGAGATAGGAAATCTGTCTTCCTGATATTTTGGTCTCCCATAGTTCATTGCTATTAGTAATAATCAGCAGACTGATGGAAGTTAATGTCCAAAATATCTGCAAAGAATTAGATTGACTATTTGTTATTAAAGTGTAAATTCAAAAAACCCTGCAACATGGTTTACATTGAACTTAATCCATTAACTCTTTCTCCATAAATTTGTTTTGAACTTCCAACCTCATTCCTTTTCTCAACATGACCAAATAATCCCAATGAATATCATTCCATTTTGTATTCAGCACCACATTCATACAGTGCCCAGTCATTCTTGATTAGTCTTCTTGTTTCACTACACATATTTCTTAGGTCCCAAGTCCCATTGTCACTCCAGTTCACTTCATTTGTTTCCATTGCCATTCTTCTCCTCAGGATCCATTTTTGGCCCTACCGAACAATGATCTGCCTTATATTCAATATATCTCATCATTCTGGTAACCTTCAATAATTCTCTCAGTCTTTCTTATAAACCAACCAGTCATGTTTTTAATTTGCATCCATTCCTTTACCATGTCAGCATATGAAAAGACTTGCACTTAAACCATCTATTTAAAACAAGTGAACCATTTTCGAAGCAGTTAATCACCAAGAAGTCAGTATCCCGATGCATTCTAGGTTCTTCAAATGGCCCATTCATTTTTTCTTCATTGTGTTGCCTCATCCCTAGCTAGCTTTTTGCCACCTAACAGAATATTTTCATTCTGTTCTGCATTAATTTAAAATGTTGTACAATTTATCTTCCCCCAAGTCATCACTGCTTCTTACAATATTACAATTCTCTGTAATCTAATATATAAGTATCACTAACCTATGGTTTCCTATTTTTTTCATACATACACAACAATGTTCAGCAACAGTTCCTACTTCCTGGATTATTTCTTCTAAATTTTCTTCTAAATTTCTTCATTTCCATGCTATGATTTGTTAGTTCCATTCCAGAAAATTCAATCACCCCAACATCAGTGTGTTTTATGTTTCCATTTTCTCTTGATTTCAATGTCATAAAAATTTTCTATTATCTTTCTTTTAGTGCATCCATCAGTTCATACTATTTATCATTTATTCCCTTTATATTCCAAGTCATAATCTTCCATATGATATGGCCATTGTTGCCCACCATGACTTTGATCAATCAAAACTTTCATATAAAACTTTTTCGAAGTATCACTTTTAGTTACACTTGTATTATATGGCATATTTCCTGCTAACTGAAGGGTAATACTTTCAAATCTCAGTCCACTGTAGCCAGTATGACTTATTGTAACAAAATCCAGATTTACCCCGAGCATGCATTGCATGCATTAAATTTATACATCCTACAATCCGCTACAAGATGTTTATCTTATTCAGTATGAGCTATGATAGTTAACCATGACAGTCAATATTCAGTTGACCATATTTCACCTATCTACACATACTCTTGTGATTTGATTTTTAAATTTAAGCTTGTAAAAAAAAAAGTATGTTACTTATATTTCAGTATATCCTTAGAGAAACTGCTGAGTCGAGATTAATATGAAATGGTTTTTGAACAATTTATACCAAAGAAGAACAATTTCTGGCTGACCTGTATTTAGCATTCATTTTTGAAAGGCTCCTTTGAAATAAGTGTAATTCTGATTCGCCCAAATCAACAGCAATTTAACCATTGATCTCATCGAGATGCAGATTGAACCTAGTGATTCATGCCAAATGTAGCATCTTTCAGAACTTTTGAAATGAAACACTGATTTGTATTGATTGATAGAGCAAGCCCAGAATGATATAGCACTGCAACAGACAAAGTTCAATAGATAAAGAAACTGCATTGTTTCAAAGTTACAAATACAGTCACAAACTCTCTTCTGTTGTTTTCAATGGAACTGATTGTTAAATAACTATACAGACTGCATATGAGCTTGGGATGGTCATGTACGCTTTGTATGGTATGTTATCTTACTTATTTATACTGACACTTGAAAGACAAGACCATTTAAATTTGGTTGTACATGAGCCAACACTTCCTATCTGAAAATAGAATATGATTCACTGCTCTGCTTTGAAATTTGAGGCATGGCATCTTTCTTAATAGTGTTAGCTGCCAGTAATAGAATAACCCCAAAATGGGATGAAATAGAATGCTAATTTATAAGAGTTTAATTTTCAATGTTTTTTTTTTTACTGAAACTCTGTCTTTTCTTATTTAAAGGAGCAATTTTTCAAATGAATTTTTCAAATTATTTTTCCAACCATATTAACACACACTAAAAATAAAAGATGATTAAAGTACTGGATGTTTAAATTATACCAAATATTTATCAAGTTGTTTTAAAAAAAACTGGAAAAGCATTTGCAGAATGCTAAAAGGATGCCATTAAAATAATTTTTAAAAATCATTCAAATGATGGAAGGTACATGATTGAGTACAGAAAATATAAATCTAAGTATTTGAAAAAAGTATTAAGAATGTAATCCTAAGTAAAATTCATTGAGTTCAGTGAAACAGACAAATATATACAACAGATGTTATTTTCAAGTCAAATTCCATTTCCTCAGTTTTTCTGTTTTAAATAAATGAATTTTTCCTGGTTCATTAAACCTTACAAGATTTCCACAATCTTCCTTTTCGCAAGATCTCATATGTCATAGTTTGAAATATCTTAAAATGGTTTGTGTAATCTGACATTTATGACAGTTACTGTCAGATTGCTAAGAATGGTGACATGATTGATGCTGTGAGATTTGGCATAATTTTAAATTGACTTTAATTTGGGGCATTACAGTGCTAACCTCTCATGTATAGAATTTCAACACAACTCAGAAGACACTTTTTCCCAAAACTGCATAATGCTTTATTTATTTATTTTAAAAAATACTTAAGTAATTTTTTTTTTCTCCCTTTCTCTCTTACCTTCCATATTTGGATACAAGCAATTAGATTTTGAAAAGAAGAATCAATATAACCTAAAAGTAGAAGCGACTAACATTCATCCTGACCCACGATTTTTCTACTTGGGACCATTTAGAGACTCAGCTTTGGTCAAAGTTTATGTGGAAGATGTAGATGAGCCACCTGTTTTTAATTTACCATCACATTTAATAGAAGTTGATGAAGATGTCAGAGAAGGCAGTATCATTGGGCAAGTAATAGCCCGGGATCCAGATGCAACAAATAACCTAATCAAGTAAGTTATCTTCCATAAATATCAGAAAAGATTACATTAAAAGTATGTGATCTTGCCTATAATGTGCTTTGGTTTTTGGAAACTTTTGTGTTTAATACTGGCAATAAACTATTAAATATAACTGGAGATGGTTATTAATTTCATTAAGGATAGGTTTACATTCCTACTGTTGGTAGCATTAGACTTTTAAATATCCAAGTCTGGACTCACCCCAATTTTCAAACTTCAACTTCTATTCATGTTCTCCAGAAAATAGTTCGCAGCCTAGCTTGTTCAAATTCAATATGATTTATCAAGTAATGTTGAGCCACTCACGAATTTTCAACCTAACTTTTCTTGCAGGGTCATTTAAAAGATAAATGAAGGATGTTCCTCATCCCACACCACTCTAATTTCTTAGGAAGTAACAGACTATAAGTATAATTATGGCATAGTTTTTTAAAAAATAAAGGGATTTTAAAAATAAATTCATGCTAACTTCAGTCCATATTGTGCTCGTACTAGCACTTGGCCCAAAGTAATTAATAACTAAAATAATTATTGACTGCAATGGAGCATCAGAAAGACTGTTTTGGTATAATAGAGTTGTTAATTATCTGTCTGTCTGTCTGTCTATATCTACCTACCTACCTACCTACTTGCTAAATTATCAGCTCTTCTAAGAGAAACATCACTGAATAAATTCATTTACAATTGGAAGCTTTTGTAGATTTTTTGTAAGAAATGAGGAAAAAAAAATCAAGCTATGACATTTATTTATTTTGATTTATTTATTTTGATTTGTCAATCGCTTGCAAGATAATAGGTATAAGTATATACATAGTTATGAATATATGAAATGGGTACATATAAGAAAAATAAAAGAAACAATAGGACAGGGACGGTAGGCACGTTGGTGCGCTTATGCACGCCCCCTACAGACATCTTACGAAAGGGTGAGGTCAATAGTAGACAGTCTAAGATTAAAGTTTTTGGGGTTTGGGAAGAAACCACAGAGTCAGGTAGAGTATTCCAGACATTGACCACTCTGTTGCTGAAGTCATATTTCCTGCAATCAAGTTTGGTGCGGTTAACCCTGAGTTTGTATCTATTTTGTGCTCTTGTGTTGTTATGGTTGAACCTGAAGTATTCATTGACAGGTAAGTCATTGCAATGCATGATTTTATATACCATACTTAGATCAGACCAAAGACAGTGTAATTCTAGGTTTTCTAGCTCTAGAATTTTAAGTCTGGTGGCATAAGGTATTCTACAATGAGTAGAGGTATGGAGAGCTCTACTTGTGAAATATTTCTGGACTTTCTCAACTGTGCTAATATCAGATACATAATGTGGGTTCCAGACTGATGAGCTGTATTCGAGTTTTGGTCTAGCAAATGGTTAGTAGTGTGATATTACCAGAGAAAAAGCTATGTAGGATTAGGTTAACAACTCTTAATGCCTTTTTGGCTATGTAGTTACAATGGGCTCTAGCACTTAGATCATTAGAGATGAGTACATTTGTTGTCTGTTTGACAGGAATGCTTCTATCCAGTTATGCAGTTGACCAGAGACACCATAAGATTTCAGTTTTAGGAGTAGCTTGTGTACCACTGAATCAAAGGCTTTACAGAAGTCTATGTAGATTGCATCTATTGTTTTGCCCTGATCGAGTTGTGTAGTCCATATGTTTTTGCAGTGTAAGAATTGCATATTACAGGATAGTTTTTTTCTGAAACCAAATTGTTTATTAGAGAGTAGGTTGTTTGTCTCTAAGTGGAGGATAATGGATTGGTTAATAATTGATTCCATGACTTTACAGGTGGCACAGCATAAGGAGATTGGTCTGTAATTTTCAACTAGGCTGGGCTCTCCCTTTTTGAAGATGGGGATGACCGTGGCTTGTGACCATAGATTAGGCAAGGACCTGGTCCTGAAAGATTTTTCAAAGATTATAATTAGAGGTTCTGCTGTGGTAGTGGATAGCTTTTTTAAGAAGTAGGCACATATTCCATCCAGAATATCTCTATCCAATAGATAGAGATGGTTTTAGATTGCGTAGTGCTTTTTCAACATTGTCTTCTGTAAAATTGATATGTATTAGATCATTGTAGTTTTCTGTGGTTCGGCTAGGAAATACTGGGCATGATCCATTGCTGTTTACAAATACTGAGCCAAAGAATGTGTTAAAGAGGTTGGCTTTAATGGTGTCATCGTTGCAGTCTTTACCATTAGGTCCTATCAGGGGTGGGATGGACCTTGAGTCTTTTAGTTTGTTGTTTACAAAATTGTAAAAAGTGCCAGTGGAAAAAGTGCATAGAAGGTTTTCCTCTTGTTGAATGTGATAATTGTTGCATTCAGTCTTTATCTGGTGGCATACATTTTTGTATCAGCTTTTGAACTTGGCAATGTGACCAAATTTGTTTTTCCGCCAGTGTGATCTCTTTTTGGATTGAAGTTTCCTTATTGTTATGGGTAATCTGTTTCTCTTTTTTTGGGGGGGGGGGAGTTGTTATTGATACATATAGTTTGATGACTCTTTTGACTTCAAGTAAAAATACGTTGTAATGGTCTTTAACAGTATTGCATCCAGTGAATAGAAATTGCCAATTAAGGGATGAGAGATCACTGTCTATAAGATCATAGTTGCCTTTTTTGAAGTTATAATTGGGGATTACATCATAGTGATGATTTTTGTGTGGGCATATGTTGAAACAAAAGTCAATCATATTGTGGTCACTGTTGGAAAATGGTTCTTTAGTTTGTATTCCGTAAATTAAATTCAAACTATTGCAGAAGATGAGATCGAGGCAGTTGTTAAGTCTAGTATTGTTGGTTACTAGTTGTTCCAGTCCCAGATTTTTAACAGCATTGTAGAAGGTTGCATGTATGGGTTCAGTTGTTTAGGGTCCAATTAATAGATTGAAGTCACCAAGAAAGATAAAAGTGTGTGGGCAGGATGTTGCCCATGTTAGTAGTGAAGTTAGCTTGTTTACATGTTCAACGTCATAATCAGATGTTCTGTAACATAGGAAGAACTGGAATGTGATATTTAAGGATAGTTCACAGATGATGGTCTCAGGAAGAGCAAGTTCCTTGGTAACTTGGATGTTTTTTAGATGTAAGGACTTTTTATAGAAGATAGCAACACCACCTCCTCTATGGATTTCATGATCTGATTGGTAAACATGATAGTCAAGAGACTGTGGTAATGAAGTCAGGAAGAGATGCATTGAGCCATGTTTCACAGACAAATATGATGTCGAATTTAGCCATATTTAGTAAGAGGAGAAATTCAGGTATTTTATTCACAAGGTTTCTTGCATTGAGTAGCTTGCATTTAAGGCCAGCTGTAGTTGGAATTGAGGTAGTTAGGAGTGTGTATGCCTAGACTTGGGTGATGTTGGATTGGTTGAAGTAGGGTTGTGGTTGAAGGTTAAAGCTGAGTTGCGGGTTGTGTGACTTCCTTTTGATACAGTCAGCATGGTAGTCAATGTACAGGTCCTTCTCTCCATTGTCTAGGCATTTTTTGAGTTCTGTGCGGAGTATGGGCATTGGGCATGTTGCTGTATGATTAGGTCAGGGTGAGAATGGAGGTTCTTATGGTTGCTGTTGCTTTTGGCAAGTGAATTTATAGTATAAATGAATTTATGTTTGCTTGATTCATTTTTGAAAATGAACCTACAGAAGTGTGGGGCCACAGAGCCGTCTCTGTTTTTGAGCTCTCAGCCAATGCAGGAAATGTCAAGTATTTCATCAGGGGAGATGGTTGATGCTTGATAATCACTGATGATGTTTTGGACAGTTGTGATGTCATCATTGTCATTGATGTCCTCTAGACCAAATAAGATGGCCTTTTGACATTTCCGTTTGCGCTCAACAGCTTCACTGATGAGGATTGGAGTATCATTATTTGTTTGATTTGTTTTTTGTGGATTGGGTTGTGATTGTTGGGTAGAGCTGTGGTTTGTAGCTATTGGATGTTCAGGTTTTTGCATTGTGTCTTTTTTTTCAAGGTTGGATAATCTTTCTTTTAAAGCGTCCAGGGATACTACTATGGTGTCAAGGGATGTTATTCGTGTTTCAATGGTATCAACTCTTCAAATAGATCCAGTTTGGGTCTGCATGATTTGCAGAGTTATGGAAACTCATTGGATGATTCTAGGAATTGAATCATTTGCTCGGGTAATCCCAAGCAGTCATGATGAGCGTATTTGAACATTTGATGGAATTTTCATTATCCTTTAGAGTTTTATAGCATTTAAGGCATGTGCAGGAGTCTTGTGGTTCATTGGTAGGGATTACTTTTTCTTTAGGTTGTCGTTTGGCATTGGATTTTTTTTCTTGGCGTGGTAGGTTTGTTAAGATGGTACATTGATTAAATTACTTAATGAAACAATTTTATAGGAAGTTGATTATTGTTAAAACTTACTAAATTTTTTGAGACAATGGATATTACAATATAGGTAGTCCTTGACTTACCACAGTTCGTGTAGTGACTGTTCAAAGTTGCAATGGCACTGAAAAAAAGTGACTTATGGCTCTTTTTCACACTTGCAACCATTGTTAGCATCCCCCTGGTCATGTGATCAAAATTTAGATACTTGGCAACTGACTAATATTTATGGTGGTTGCAGTGTTCTGAGGTCATGTAATCACCATTTGTGACCTTCTGTGATGACCTAGAGTGCAACACAAACGTAACAAAATCCAAAGCGTAAATAAATGTCTTTTAATGCATCTAACTTGGCCCCACTGTTCAATAATTCTCAGTTGGAGATAAAACGTACTCAAAAATAGTCTTCAAAAGAAAGCAATACAGTCCAAATTTGCAGATAGAGGTGAAAACCAAACAAACTACAAAGATGAAATTTCCACAACAGGACAGGAGAAGTATTTACCAAATTCAAGGAGATAACAAGGCACAGTCTGTTGGAAGGATGCCAGTCAAGATAACCTCAAACCAAAATAAAACACACTTTGTCTCCAGCGTTTGTCAGAATGCAGGTCCAAACTCTTAT